TCACTTCGGTTCTATACATTTATTAGCACTTTTTTCACATTTTTTGGGTTTAATCTCTCATCTCATAAGCTCAGATTTTGAGGCTGGGACAGGTGTAAAATGAGCCATCACAGAAAAAGTCTTATCTAACTTTCAAAGTGAACTGATCTAACCAGTCTCAATACCAATTATTCATAATTTATGTTGTTAGTTGAAATTATATTCAAAATTCACAGTAGTGATTTGTTTTCAAATTATTGAATGCTACATGTATGCTTCTTTGTACATTTTCACAAATGCATAAAATAAAATTAATAGTCTTAAGATTTAAGTTTTATCATGGAGACTTAAAACGATTTTGAAAATGATAAATTGTTATTACATTAAATGTATTCAGAGTAAATGCTTAAAACTTGAGCTAAAAACGGACATGAAAATTATTAAGTACTATAAAAAAATAAAAGAATTCAACGGATGTATTGAAAAAAATTAAATAAAATATATCTATAATGTCAAGATCAATTAGCACAATAAAATAAACTTTCTTCTAATTTAAATGAAGGTAGTTTTATGCTACAAAATTAAAATAAATACTTTAAAAATTTGAGTAGAAAAATATTTTTAACATTTGAAAAACATTTAATTCAATTTATAGGAATTATTGGTAAGATTTTTGAAACATTGATTAATATAGATTGACCAAAATACCTTGTAAATACTTTGAAATTTGAACAACATTTAATTCATTTTATAGGACTTATCGCTAAGATTTTTCCAATATAACTTACAAGTCTTTGAAACAGTCATATAAATGCAGGTAGTTTATTCATACAGTTTAAGACACAGGTAACACAGGTAAACTCTACCTGTGCCCCTCAGAGGGCTTCTTAATTGAGTGTGATAATTATACTGTTTATATAGGTTTTAGACGTTCGGGGAACACACCATTTCTTTCTCGTTTCTAAAGAAATGGGCGTGTCATTATGTTATAATTGACGTTCAATACATGACTCAGACCGTTTCATCCAAATGGAGAATTTAACCACTTCAATGCGCTTCATTGTACCACTAGACCACGGAATCGCTTTACATGGCATTAAGTATATGTAGAAGTGAAGTCACATACATGTAGATATTCATGTTCGGTATTGTCAAAATTTTACACAAGCCATGGTGTTTGATTTATTTAGCCTTTATTAAATTAAACAGTTCTAATAGATGTAATAAGAACAAAATGTCCGCCGAGAACCTGTTTTATACGCAATAACTCTCCTCATGCCCCTGTGCTAAAAATAGCGACATGTAATACTATAAATACTAATAAAACAAACGGAGCGGGGCACTTTGAGAGGGGTGAGAGAGGTCCTAGGGAGTTTTGGTATAAAATTACATTGCATAAGCTCAAAATCTTCTTGAAATATCGCCCGGAAATGATAGTGTTACACACAGACAGAATGTATAAATACGACCCTGAACTTTGACCTTTTGACCTCAAAATCAATAGGGGTCTTCATTAGGCCACAGGGAGTTGCTATGTAAAATTTCATTGCAACAGCTCAAATGGTTCTAGAGATATCGTGTGGAAACGAAAGTGTTACAACAGACAGAATTTGCTTATTTATGACCTTGACCTTTGACTTTTTGACCTCCAAATCAATAGGGTCTTCTTTAGTCCATAGGGAGTTGCTATGCTAAATTTCACTGGAAAAGCTCAAAGGGTTCTCGAGATATCGTGTGGAAACGAAAGCGTTACAGACAGACAGAAAGACAGACGGACGGACAAACCCAAATTAATATCCCCCACATTTCAAGCGGGGGACAATAATTGGGATGGGCGACCAAGCTCCAAGACCATATAAATTGAAAATAGACTTAAGTCAAAATTTAGATTTTGACTATTTTAATTATTATTAAATGAACATGCCTAAAAACTTTCAAGTTTGTTAGATATTTGAATACAAATATACCTTGAAAATTGTGTTTCACTTTGAAATTTATTTTAAAAGTTACACTTTACACGAAAGGCACTTTTTGGACTAAATCGAAATATTCAAATGTTTGAATTTAATGCAGAAACACATTGTCAATTGTTTGATACATATATATTAAGTGTTTTGAATTATGGTTGTGAAATTTGGGGTTTCCACAAATCACCTGAAATAGAGCGCATACATCTTATGTTCTGTAAAAATTTGCTAGGAGTTAAAAGATCTACATGTAGTTATATGGTTTATCGTGAATTGGGTCGATATCCACTAATCATATCGAGAAAAATCAGAATAATGAAATACTGGTGTAAATTGCTTCATACAAATAATTGTATATTGAAATCTTCCTATGAATATCTATTGCACAATGCAGAAAGTAAATTACATTCTAAAATTAATTGGGCAAGGGATGTTAAAGATGAATTGTTTAGAATGGGACTTGGAAATTTTTGGTTTAAGCAAGATTCTATTAATACAACACAGTTTATATCTTTGTACAAGGAAAGACTGTTGGATAATTACCTTCAAGATTGTAATGCTTTTTTTCGAAAATTCAACAAAATGTTTTTTGTACAAACACATTGTGTGTGACAATTTTTCAAAAATCCATGTATATTTGACAAAATCTATTTATTCTATATTGAAGAAAAATATTACAAGAATAAGGCTTTCTTCCCATAACTTAAGTATAGAAGCAGGAAGATATCAGAAAACTGATAGAAGCAATAGATTATGTCAATTTTGTAATAATCACTGTATAGAAGATGAATATCATGTTTTACTTGAATGTCCTAATTATGAAACTTTAAGGAAAAAATATATCAAACCATATTATTTCAGATCACCAAATATGTACAAGCTTACTCAGTTACTCAGCTCTCATGATGTTAGGGTTTTAATTGGTTTAGGGAAATTTATTCTCCATGCCATGAAATTAAGAAATAATGAATAATATAATCCATATGTATTCATGTATTATATACTATAATAATAGTATTTTTTCATTTAAGAATTGAGAATTAGAAGCATATTGTATATCTGTTACAAGAAACAATGAATAATATAATTCATATATATACATGTACTATATGCTATAATAATTTTTCATGTAATAATGGAGAATTGGAAATATATAATTGTATATCTGTTACAAGAAATAACGAATAATATAATTCATATGTATTCATGTTTTACTGAGTATATCATGCTATAATAATTTTTCATATAATAATGGAGAATTTGAAATATATTGTATATCTGTTGGTGTACCAGTATGGGAGTCAGGCAGATGGAAAGGGGTTCCACCCCCCGAGACTCTCACCTCTCGTTCATTATGTATATTTGTTTATATAAACTGATGAGCCGTATGGCTTAAAGTTATTGAATAAAGAATTATAAAATGGTATTTGAAATTTTGACTTAAGTCTATTCTCAGTTTATGGTCTTGGGGCCAGGTCTGTCTTTGAAATAATAACCAAACATAAAATTTTATTGAAACAATACAAATTTGGACTTTAAAACCACGAGAAGTGGGATTAGGTGCCAGGGAGGAGTTAGCATCCCGTCGACAGGTCACACCCGTCTTTTGCTATTTCTCACGGTCGGACAAACAGAAAAATTGATGAACAATTCAGTGTGTTTAATGATCTAACAATTTGTATGAAAAACGTCAGTCAGCATTTGTTTAAACGATAGTTTGCATTTGCCAAAAATGTCATTGTATCGCCATGAGAATTCGTAGACCATGCTCTTGCGTATTATATTGAATCAATTTTTTGTTTTATTTTTCCGAAGAGCTACAGTTCTGCAGTTAGCTGTTTAAACCTTGGTCTAAATGTCTAGCATGACGACATCGCCACATATTCTTTGATATAGTTCAAGGTCTACTTTTCAATACATTTCATTGTAATGGAAAAAAAATTGACAAGGCAAAATTTCCATTAGAAATAAGATAAATACAAGAATAATTTATAGTTACTAAAACAGCAAGAAAAAATAAATAAATAAACCAGTACAAGGAAATAACTAATAATAAGTTAAGCAATATTGCAGAATTTTTATGGAGACACCTATAGAACAGTATGGAAACATTATCTCGTCTTTGTAAAAAAAAAAAAATAAATAAAATAAAATCAGGAGATATCTTCCAAAACAAAACTAACATTGCAATGGGAGATCTCTTTAACCAATCTTTATTATTCTTTTGGTATAAATAAATAGTAAAATTCTAAGTTATAACCCCCCCCTCCAAAAAAAAAACCGGAATATATTTTGTTTTTAAAATTCTTCATGTGTTGTGAAATACCGAATGCATGGAGTAAAGATTTTCGCATATATATATATATATATGTACTTGTTTCCCACAAGGAATTTGTGCTTTAATCAACAAAATAAAGTATCGTGAGATTACGTTATATGTCATATGTCAGGAATGGAGATGGGATAAGAATATGAATGTTATAGCTCTATTAAACGTGTACATACGGTTAATTGATATTAGTAAGAATTAAATCTTATTTCATGAAGGAACCAAAATGTTGCACATTGTACCTATTAAAAATAAATCCTTGCAATAAAAAGGTCTAAAAGGTGCTATTCATTATAAAAAAAATATATAGCTGAATACGTAGACTAGCCTTGAAATTATTTTAGATTTATTTATGAAATATTCAACTACTACATGTATTATCTGATTATTTACAGAGACCTTTTTATCGCATCTATCCGACTGTAAAATATTTGGGTATTGAAAAAATATGAAAATCTAAATTTTTCAAAAGTCAGATTAAAGCAATGCATTTATAAATCATGTCTGTGTTTCTTTGTTTTTTCTTTTTTGTATCCGAAATTGCATTCTAAAAAAACTCCAACATGTCTAAATAGCCCCTATGTTAATCTAACCATTAATAATATAGCAAAAATAATCACACACTCAAAAATCATGCATACATCTGCAAAGAGCTCTCATACAATCGGGTTTCCATACAATTGCATATCATTCAAAGTGCACTAAAATTTTTACCACTTGGTCATATCGCACACAAGTATGCAGTTGTCTCTGGTAGCAATCGTGATCACTCTGGTGAACGCCAGGCCCCAACTAGTAAGTGCGTCATGGAAATAATTTAACTTTTATTAAAATTAACATTTCAATAGAAACCGATCTTTGTGTATATTTTTTTAATATTTCACATTAATTTTTACACTTTTTGAAACTGTAAATGGGATAAAGTTATGTTTTGTAAATTTAAAATGATTTCTTTAGCATTTTACAAAGAATATAATAGTTTCATTTTAGCTTATTTTATATGTGTCAAAATATTTACCGATTTATTTTAAACATGTCAAGGAGTTACACTCAAATCACATTCTAAAATTGTTCTTACAATATTATTTACATTTTTTCTTTTCTACAATTTTGATAAAAGACTCAAAACAAATAAAAAGAAACATGTTTAATACTAATAATTTTCCCCCTTACCTACCATTAGCTGCACGAGAGTTATGGTTTAAAATAAAGTCTTTGAAATAACGCTATTAATCCCGTAACGCAAAAAAGGACATTGGATTAATATTTTTTGTGACTTTATAGGGAGATTTCTTAGAATATTGGTCAATGACTACCTTTCACTCCCTAATTTTGACACATTCTGTAGCCAATATGTATATCTTGATGTGCCTCCCAACCATTTATATTTCTCACAGGCAAACATCGCTTGAGGTGAATTTTTAGCAATCTAACAAATAATTTTAATCAAGCGAATTTATCACATGTATAGACAATTAACTATAAAGGGTTGGGAGGTGGATAAAACATAAAGATTAGTTAAATAATTTTACAATTAAGGAGTGAAAGGTATTAATTGACCGATTTCTGGAAAGTGGAGAAATTCTAACGAAAAGTGACAAAGAATCTTGCGCCGTAAATTGCACATTTTCTGCATTACGGGATCTGTAGCGTTATGGTCAAAGACAAATATATAAAACCATAACGCTACAGATCTGCAGCTAACCTACCATTAACTTTTAATTTACGATAAACATATTAAAGATAGGGCTATCACAGGGGCGTTGGGGATGATGATGTATGTATGTGGAAAAAAAATGATTTTACGGTTTCATTTTTTACAAAATGAACTTTTATTTTAAAGGAAGTTCCAGTTGGTAAGTTTTTATTGTCTTCTTTCATATCAATAGACTTTTCATATACAATATATTCCAAATGTTATATAAGTTAAGGAAAAAGCAATAAATGTAAAATAATTATTTTTCTTTTCTACTTCGTAGGCTTTGATCCTGCTTATCCAGAGGAAAATCCAGGTTTGAATTGATTCAATTATATTGTGAATACTTGGAAGAATCCAAATACAAATAAAAACAACATTTTGACATCGTTTATTTCTTTCCAGGCTTGTTTGAGGGTGACATTGAATTACAACCTGAACAAGAATCAAATGTGAGTTTCTTTTAAAATTTCCCGACAACCATAAAGGATATACATGTAAATCTATAGTATGGAATTTGCATTTTGAAGATGAGTTTGAATAGAACATGACTGAATTTTCAAATAGTTCATACTTAACTTTCTCCAATATGTAGACATCCTAAAACCATCAACTTTAATTTTACAGTTAAGAAATGCTATAGGTGACACAAGATACCTGTGGCCCCATGGACTGGTTCACTATACAATCGATGCTCATCATGCAGGTAAAAATGTACTTTATAAAACAAATTTTGATGTGCATTTTTTTGTGGACACAACCATGTAAAGCGGGAAAAGTATGTACTTTACTTGTACCGCATCGTCGTAGGCCACGGGATTGCTTCCAATTTCATTTCCATAATAGCAATGTCTTTCCACAAATTTAATTTAAAAATAAACTTTGTTGTTATGACTACTTTAAATAAAATTTGTGGAAGGGCAGCAAGAACACAAACCAGTGTTTTGCAATCAAGTTTACACCGATGTAACTAAAATACAAGTAGCTAAAATTTCATTTCTCTGTTCCAAAAAATATAACAAAAATTGGATAATATCGCAAGTGATCGTCAATGCATTTATTTTCAGCTATTCCATCACATGTTCAGATATTTAAGTCTGCCATGCAGGAAATCATGGATAAAACCATGGTTAATGGCAAGAAGTGCATCGACTTTCAACCAAGGGGAAGCGAGAGTGCCTATATTCAGTTTTCATATGGATCTGGGTATGGTATACATGTATACATATATTTCAGAATAAATTTTCCACTGGCACTTTAAAGGGAATTTGAACTTACAGATACTTTTCTTCATTAAGATGTCATACACCTGTTGGTTACCATGGCAGACGTTCTGACGTCACATTAGGAACAGGATGTTTAAGGAAAGGAACTGTGATGCATGAAATTTTACACGCTCTCGGTTTCTGGCACGAACAAAGTAGAGCCGACAGAGACAACTACGTCAAAATTCACTTTGACAACATTCAACATGGTAAGAATGCATGAAAGTTCAAGGGTAAAATGAAAAAAATAAAACACTTAGACAGAACACTTGCCGATATCAAAAAGTTTTCGAATTGTTGCCATCTTGCAATGTTTTCCCCTCATATATTTATTTACAAAACTTATTGAAAATTAAGGTCACGAAAGGAACTTCGATAAATACCAGGTGGGACCCAAATTGGACATGTTAAACGAACCTTACGACTATGGATCCGTCATGCACTACAGCGCCTATGCTTTCGCCATCAACAGACGACAAGTTACTATTGAGACTCTGCAGCCAGGCGTGACGATCGGCCAACGTGTTCGATTGAGCGACATTGATGCAAAAGAAATTCAGATTCGTTACGGGTGTATTTCCAGACCAGGGTCACCAGCAGGTAGCGCTGTGACAGGAGCTACTTCCCCTCCCCACGTCACAGTTCATCATGAGACAGCAACACCACGTAAGTTTTGCAAATTGATATTGTATAACAACAAATTTATGTACATTTTAATAAACAATGTAAGATTTTTGAATGATGTCTTGAAGGTATTAAGGCTTCAAATATTTTAGTATTGTGATTTTCTCTGCTGCCATATTAGAATTGTTATTTTTATATAACTATGTTTTCATTAAAAACAATGTTATACATTGTCTTCAAATGTGGTACATGTATTCAAAATAAAGGTATTAAAAGTAAGAAAGTAGGTTTATGATTACTCTTAATGTCTACATGTATACAATCTTCCTGAGCCCATATTTGAACACAATTTCTGCCTCCCTTTCAGATACCTTCCCTTCAAATCAAGGTATGTTTCCATTTTTTTTAACAGTCAGTATGTATCGATAATTCTACTTTTAAAAAATATGTATATTATATTGTTTGCAATTGACTGTTTTCTAAATAGCTTCAACATGCACTTTTGACCATGGAACCTGTGGCTGGACCCAATCCACAACAGATAACCTTGACTGGACAGATGGACACGGACGTACACCTAGTTCAAATACCGGGCCTACTGCCGACCACTACGGAAGCACTTCTGGTAGAAATTTCAGAAATTACATTTTTTTGAATTTAACATTCTAGAACATTTGTCTGTTACAAATACTTTTACAATTTCTAAGTAAAACTGGAGTTACATTCACACATGGAAAAGACGGACCGAGTAGAAGGCGTTTAAAGCCAATATGCCACATCACTGCTTACTTGAATAATACATTCCAGAATTCTAAAAATAAAAAAAGAATTATGCTTGAATATATTATCTTGAGCCCGTTAAGGATATGCAAAGCCTACTTACACTTCAACGTATCTAGAAACTATAGAAATCCTTTTTTGTACCCTGTCAGGACACTACCTATACCTGGAGGCCAGCAGCCATCTTCAGAAAACAGCCAAGTTAGATTCGCCTACGTTCCCGGGTGGACAATACTGCTTTAGTGTTTACTTTCACATGTATGGAGCGCAGACTGGGTATTTACAATTCAACATCATTCAACACGGACATGCGTACACGATGAAGAGATACACAGGTGACCATGGTAACAGGTGGCTTCATATGAGGTTGAGTATCAACGTTCGTGCTTCTTCCTTCCAGGTAAGTCATCCTAGATGTTCCAACATTCTTATGTTAAAATAATAATATGTTTATTTTATGTAAAAAATCATGGTCATGTTTTAAAACTAAAATATGGATATAATATGTTTATTAATCTTATATAACTTTTGCCCAAGTTGTGAAATTTATTTAAAAGAAGCATGGCAATTTGTAGTATTAACTATGATCTTTTGGAAGAACATTTGTCATTCAAATTCGTATTGTTGTAGTTTGAAATCACCGGCCACACTGGAAATGGTTACCATAGTGATATTGCTATTGACGATTTATCAGTAACACCAGGTCATTGTTGAATGTTGTAATAGATGTATTATAATAAAACATTTTATAGGATTCTATTCCCTTTGTTTCATTTACTGAAATTTTACCGGATCGATTTTTAAATGTTCAATGAAAATATAAGCACTACATACTATTTAAATGAAATAATAAAAAAAAAACATGCATTTTACTTAGAAGATGAAACTGAAAAGAATATTTTACCAAAGTAAAATATTTGATGATATTATTCTATACTGTATATAGTGAATATCTTACTTAAAAAATGACATAAAATTAACATTTAAAATTAATTTATATGCAACAATTTCATAATAATTTCCATGATTACTAGTATATAATGTATACCTTTTGGTGAATTATACATAATGATAGGGGTTTATGTAGAACAACATCGAAATAAGGTCAATATTTGATGTCAGAATGATAAGGAAATGTGAAGCGCCCCTTTGTCACGATATTTTCACACTGCACAAGTACACGTATTTATTTTTGGCTTTGATAAGGTGGACGTTGATCTAAAGAACCCCTCCCATCCTAATGTCTGAGTTTTTATTTTTCTTTTCTCCCCCCCCCATCTCCTCTCTCCCCCACTGCCATTCCACCCCCAACTTTTACTATATCTTCTTCCACCATTACAACCCCCTCTCTCTTGATTTGACTGATTTTATTTTCCCTGATTATTAAATCTTAAATCTTGAATAAAAATGGTAAATGATCAATTCATACTATGAAATATTAATAAAATCAAAATAGGCGTTTTAATATTACAATCTTTAACATTTTACTTTGTCAAAAAAGCAAGGGAGAGAATTTAAGAGGTAGGTAATGCTCAGTTCGTATATTTCATAACCTCTTCTGATGAATCGCCAAAAAGCACATTAAGGAAGAATGAAAATAAATCTGCAATACACATACTATGTCTTATCGTATAGACAATATAAGAAGGATATAATATTCATTCAGAAATAAGCTACCATTATAGTTATCGAATAGGTCTGAAGTAACATTTGGATCGAAGTGATGAACTCGTTTAAATGTAAAGACACTGCTAAGAAGAATATAGGAATAAGACTACATGTAATATGGAGTCATGCTGATAAGGACGCAATACAGACACCTCATAACACGAAAGGTCGGGAGCTTACTGATAGCAAGAATATTTGTACTTAGATTCAGTACATCTGACATATATAATATAAACAACACTTTATTTGTATAACATTTGAAACAAAGCTCGATTAACTTCTATACTAATATGTGATATTTTTCATGACTAAAACTAAAAGAATCCTTGGTAAATTTCAATTTAATTAAGTATCGATATAAAAAACAAACCACAGATGTAGATTTGTATGATTATGTAAAGTAAGACAAGATAGTAACTGTCACTGATATACAGCAGACTAATGTTGACATAAAATATTACATCAATTCAATTTTTAAAAAGGTTTTACATTCTACCATAATCAAATGATGAACTTCAAAATGATCACTGACGATGAAATACATGTACATAAAATTTGCAATTACAGATGAAGATGATTATCCAAAGTGTGTGGTATCCTGTCTTTACTTTTAGAATCTATCGTTGGAATTTCTCTTTTTTACCACCTAAAACCGTGTTCTGAAAATATACTTTAAAATAGTCCGAACAACCCTCGGAGCAAGAGGAAATGATTCAAAATCACAACTTAAACGGACATAAAGCGAAAATCTTGTCATGCAACATCAAAACTTAGACTAGCAAGATTAATTGACTTTTCACTGAAAAAAAAAACAAGATATGTACAAATAATGAAAGAAATCGTAACTTAATATTGACAGCCAAAATACTAGTACATTTTTCTAAGAACATTAGGTATAATAACGGTAACTTTTGATTGACAAGCTATTACAGAGTCAAAATATCCGTATTTCCAGGAACAATAAAATAAATGGTAACTTAAGATTAAAAGCTTTTACACAGAAAGATATACATGTACATAGTTTAAGTAATACTTAAATGAAATAGTGGAAAGGAATACAAACTTTATATAATAGAGCCGATTACAGAGGCAAATAATGCGTATTTCGAGGAACACTGAAACTAGAAACACAAAGAAATACAAACTATCATTATACATGTACTAGTATTAAGAGCCCAATACACAAACAAGATAGAAATATTTCTAGAAATTTTAGAGAACCTTTTGTAGAGGTAAGATATGCATCATTTTTTTTTCAAAATAGAATAAAAGTAATTTTTGGTTGAAAACTTATTAAACAACCGATCTTTTGGATGAGACCGTATAAATCGAGGTCCCCTTTCACGATAGTTGCTGTCACAAAAAGATCCCTTCAATGCTGAAGACCATAAGTGCCTATTACAGAATTTGCATCCCTCCAATGGCAAGTGATGGCGTCTCAATATGAGTGAAAAAATAAGGGGACGTTAAACAAACAAAGCGAACCCTTTTTCACAAACTGGAGGTGAAAAAAGAATTGGAAAGATTACATGAGCATGATCAATATCGTCTTTAATTTTAAGCCTTATTATTATAGCTAAACTGTAGACCTTCATTTTAAATTTACCCTCTGTAAATCCGACTAATTTCTTATATTTATAGTTCACTTTCTAAGGATGAAATTCTTCAAAATCACATTAACATTCTAGTCAACCAAGATGAATTCGATCTATACTACCTATACTGGATTCCTAACTTCATAAAATCTTGACAAACAAATATACATTGCCGGGTCTAGCCTTATCTTTACTTTTTACAAAATATCAAATGCTGTGTAGGAGAAAATTCAGACTTACTATGCTAAATTACAAATGAGCTATAGGCTTCATTATATAATAGACAACTGCTTCGTCAGCAAAAATTGAACTCGGAAATTTTCATATCTTGTATTTGATCATCAACAAAAAACCTTTTTAAAATACTCTAAATCTACACAAAAATACTCTGGAGTTTATATTTAAAGGGTGCTGGTATTCCACATGAACAGTGTAGTCTTTCGAAACCGATTTTAGCAATATATGTGTTCTTTCATAAGCTGACTCAATGTGTATACATGTATATTCATATGAAGCAAAATTTCTTCAAATACGTCTTCGTGAGAAGAAAACACTGGGTATGGTCATCAATTCGACATTCTGATATAAAGATGACGTTTTGTCAATTTACAATAGTTTTATCAATTCATAGGTCACTTCTATAAATATCCCAGTGAAATTGAAATAAAAGACATTGTAGAGTCTGCCCCATTAGTTTCATACTTCGATGTTTACTGACTCTCAACGATAAGGACCAGCTAACAACTAATTAAAATTGTAAACAAACACAATTTATTTTGATTTCCGATTTTAGTAATAGGCTACATAGACAGAAAGGTTGTAAAACATTGGCAACATTTTGAAGTCCATACTCCTCTACGAAATGTAAAATTTTATGAATACATGAAAATTTACATTAGATAATCTCAAAAAAGTTAACTGTTCACAGTAAGAGAGTCAAAACTGTATATAACGATGTCTCACAAACTACATAAAAAGTTGAACACGGTATGCATATTCAGTTCTTAATCGTTTTTCTATTCTGTACTTTTAGTTTAAAATCGAATTGACAGCAAACATAAAAAAAACAACCTAAGCAATACATTACCTTCATTTAAAAAAGCGTAATGATATGATTAGCACATGAAATATATGGAGGTAACGAACAGAATTCAAGATCAAAATTCCATAAAACAACACAAAATAGGAGCAGAAAAAACACGGACCTCCAAAAAATCAAAAGTGGGATCAGGTGCCATGGAGGAGTGAGCATCCCCTGAGCAGAGACTAAAAGTGGAGTGGCTTAAATAACAAACAGCAAATTTTATCAACAATCACAATGAAACGTTTCACTGAAAAAGGCCATTGGAAAATGCACATTAGAAATAGTTACTATTACAGTTGACTATGTACATTGCCATCTAGCGTCCAAAAAGAACTTTTATTTGGAAAGGAACAAACAAGTTGCAAATAAACAATATATTTTGATGAAACATATAATTTATGTCCTTTTCTCGTTTTAAAATTGCACACATTGGTACCAGTTATTTGTAGGAAGAGTAATGTCAAAATAAATATAAAAAATAATTAATTTATCGAAATAATTGGATCTTACTACATAGAAAAACATAGTAAAACCATGGTCGCATTTTTTAATCACTGTCTACTAAGAATCGTAAAGTCTCTGAAAGCGTAAACCTTTGATACTTCCAAATATGTTACAACGTCCACATTCAGAGTCACAGTTTTCAAACGTTGTACATTCCAAAAAACCCTCTAACTACAGAAAAGGTGTAAGACAGTAAAAATATTCTGTGCATAATCGTCCTTATTTTCTTGACCTGCCGTGTAAACCTGAAATCGAAAACTAACAGGTTCACCAACATCAGCAAACAACCTAAGCAAATATAATATTTTACCTACATGTATACATCTACATGGGATGATTTCTTGTACTCTTATGGTACATATACGAACATAAACTTTACCATGAAGTGTACTTAGTTGACCAATTCATGGTGACGTTATTCTTAATATACTGTGACAGGTTTCTACGTGTTTGGTAACAACACAGCAAAGTATGTGACTATAGCTAAAAAGATTTTGTACTTGTATGGAAACTCATACAGAGCAATATGATTTTATATGGACTTTTACAAAAACCAAATTTAAAATGACATTATTATCTAATTGCATACCAGATTTTTTGCTCGTACTTTGGACATAACAATGAACAATTAAAAAGAGAGATAAACTCGTAACAATGGACTCAGAAGGCTTCATGAAAGACCTGAAAAAGGGCAACGCATGTTTTGTGACGAATTTATTCCATAAATTATTGTATCGATTGTATTTTAATTTTACTGACATTAAAAGAATATTTTAACAATGCATAACGCGTTTATTTTCTATAGCTTAAAGTTTTCCATGATACACTAGTATCTTAATGCAAGAAGGGGCAAATCATTTTGTTTTGTTTTCTGGACAGCCTTAAAAACTATCTTCTCT